TCAAGTACTTGTCACTTATAACGACTCCGGAGCTTCCGCACGAGTCGGTTGGAGCATCCATTCCACCGTTAGAGCCCGGTTATCCGCTTTCTGACGTTGCGACCGAGCTCCGTAGATATACTTGTGCAGTTCAAGTATCTGTGGATGACATATTGGCTGAAGATGCGGATATCCAAAGCCTTGAAGTTGGAGCAGACGCCTTTGAAATCATCCTTGATCTGAGTCAACAACGCCCTATGACCAATCTCATGGACGACGTTAGCGCTTGTGTATCCAAAGTTCGAAGAAGCACCGTAGTTCCCGTCATATATCATGTGCTACCTACTTCGACCTCTGACGGTAGCAGGACTATCTACCTGGAACACGTACACCATGGGTTACGACTGGTACCTGAGTACGCATCTATCGACCTGTCGCTAGATGCTGCTGCACTTGCCGATGTGATAAACAGTCGTGGTACCACCAAGATCATCGGACATCTGCATGCTGACAAACCATGGGATGATCATTTCTGGGTAACACAGTACGAAAAGGCAGTGCATTTAGGTTGCTCTGTCGTACGACTCACTCGCCCAGCATCTTCCATCGACGACGATGTTTCGGTTCGCAGCTTCAGTAGTCGAATGGAAACGCACGAGGCACAAGTGCCAGTAATTTGCTACAACACAGGGCGAGCTGGTCGCCGCTCGACATGTTTCAACAAATATCTCACGCCTGTTGTTGCTGCCTCGAAAAGAGAGAAGACCAACCAGATGGCGTCAACAGCACAATATCCTTACGACTCCTGGCTCACTGCCAGAGAAGTAACACAAGCCCTTTACAGCTCATTTACATTTGATCCAATGCAAATGTACATCATTGGCGTACGCCTAGGATACAGCGTTTCACCAGCGATGCATAACGTAGCGTACGGCGCGTGCGGCATGCCTCACACTTTCAGTCGCATCGAGAGCCCATCTGTGAACAAACTCCAAGAGCTAGTACGCAAACCAAACTTTGGTGGCTCTATTGTTATACAGCCCTTCAAGATGGAGGTGATGGCGTTGGTAGATTCGCTGAGCCAACACGCGCGAGCGATTGGGGCCGTTAATACTGTGATACCCGTACGTCGAAGAAACGAAGACGGAAGCATTCCCAATGACCTCGAACTCTTCCATGAGCGCAACCAGTCTGGTCCGGTTCAAGCTCTGTATGGAGACAACACGGAGTGGATCGGAATTCGGTCTTGCGTGCGGCGAGGTCTTTCTCCGGCTAATGCAGTGCGTCCGTCGACATGCGGACTAATTATCGGAGCTGGCGGTATGGCGAGGGCAGCTGTCTATGCGCTGTTGCAACTGGGGGTGATGAACATTGTGATCTTCAACAGGACGTACGAAAGAGCCGAGAGTCTTGTCGCGCATTTCTCCCGCCTTACCTCGAGTTCGGCAGATAATGCTACGGCGTCAGCCATGATGCGCCAGAAGCGGCCAAATCTGACGATATTGAGATCGCGCGACGAGGCATGGCCAGAGCACCTCCGGGATCCTACCATAATCGTTTCGTGTATCCCGACTGATCCGATAGATGGAGGTCCTGCAGCTCAATTTACGCTTCCACGGCAGTGGATTCAGAGCCCTACAGGTGGTGTGGTGATGGAAACCGCGTACAAGACACTAAACACGCCCTTGTCGCAGCAAGTACAGGACTGCCCGAAGAAGCTGTGGACATATATGGATGGCCTGGACTTTATCCCGGAACAAGCCTTTGCCCAATTCGAGCTGTTCACAGGCAAAAGAGCGCCGCGAAGGGTCATGCGCGAGGAAGTACTGCGGGCATGGAGAGATGAACAGGGCAATACTGATATAGAAATGGTAAGGAGGAGGCTCAAAGCCATCGACGACCAAGAGCCATGAGGCTTGCATGATGATACGAAATTTAATGTTGAATGACTTTTGTTATGACGATGCGGTAGCAGGGCATGTCAGTGTGAAGGTTGCATGTGAGGCTTGCGATAGACGATTCGGAGCGAGGATCCCTGCGGCGATCTCTCGTGGCGCACGTTCCCAGTGAAAGTCACGACGCGTCGGATGACAACAACTGCACAAGCTAATGCGCCAACCTCTGCGACCACGTCAGAACATAGAATAGCCCCGCATATATTCCGACTCGACGCCGAACAGACTACTATGCTCTATCACGACGGTAGCGAGGCACGGAAATGACAACGCGCCAGCCCCTCCAAGCACTTCCCCCGCCGTCGGCCAACGTCGTCAACACACGCTACGCCCACCTCCAACGGCCCGTCACCACCAGAAGCGCCAATGGAGCCGCAGCCATGGAGGCACAGGGGTACGGCCAGGAAGACACGCACGACGCCGCTTCCGTCGGCTCTGCGCTGAGCGAGCTCGAAGACGATGCCGAGGACGAATTCGAGAAGCGCATGATCCAGAATGCACGCGACGAGCGGCGGCTGAACCAGGCGCTGGGGAGCAGACCTCAGGCTTTCAAGAAGGCGCGGACTCATCCCCGTGTCGGACTGACGCTGGACAACCTGGAAAGGAACAGCGCGGCAGCTGCTGGAGCGGATGCGCAGGTCAAATTCCAGAGTCCGCCGAGCAGCAGCGGGAGCACGAGGAGCGATCCGGCTCTACGTGCGCCAGCGACATGGGGGAGGAAAGGCCGGACCAACAGGAGCTGGATGCGGACCATCACTTATGAAGAGGAACAAGGGCAGCAGCAACCACAGACGCCAGTCCCGGCCGACGACAGCATCCACGATCACTTTGACCAGCAAGACGCCAGCCTGCCACACCGCTCCGTGCCAGACAGCCCGCTCTCGCACAAGGGCACCCCACGCAACGACGAGTCGCAAGAGTGGGACCTCACCTTCGAGCTCAACGAAGCCTCCATGATCGCATCCACGCCCTACATACCACGAAACACAGTGCTGGACGATATACGGCAGAGGGAGGCCGAGAGCCTTAGGGAGCAGGCGACACAGCCCTCTCAGCCCTCTCAATCGCCCAAGAGGAGACTGCGTGCGCGAACCCACTCGTGGCAGTCCATTGGCAAGGCGCTGCCGGTTACGGGCATCGGCAACCAAGACTCGCCCGTGGCTATGTACAGGAGCGTTGAGAGCATAGCTACAGTAGATCGCGAGGTAGTTGCCACGCCTCAGGTTGTCCCCCCGAGACGCATACCGAGCCGAAGAGAAGATTCACAGGATTTACTGCGACGGCTAGCGAGAGTATCCAACACTCCAAGCCCGAGACAGGCAGCACCTTCGAGACCAGAATCAGCGCCTCCAGCACAACTGAACACTTCCTCGCAGACGGTGGCGACAGACACGGCGCAATCAGAGGCTCAATCAGCTTCTGTGGAAAAGGTGCCTGTTCCTGCCCAGACGCCCAATGAGGCAGCTGCGCCCTCGACCGTTCAGCAGGAGCAAGACAAACCAAAGGAAGCTGAACGGTCGTCAGAGCCAGCGCCAGCGCCAGCACCAGAGGCTATAGGAGATGATGTCCGCAGTGTAGATGCTACACCCATGCCCAAAGAGCGACCTGTCTTGAATCCCAAGACACCAGTGGTAACTGGTGCTTGGGTCGATACACCAGGCCCACGTACTGCACAGAGACCTGGCCTGACGTCGAGGTCACGCTCACGTTCGCCTAGAAAAGCCAGTCCGCCCAGGCAGAGACCATCTGAAAAAGGCTCGGCCCTCGTTGCGGAGGAGCCATCTGAAGCCGTCGCTATAGAGCCCCTTCGTCCACACCTTCCCAAATCTGCCTTGCAATCTCTTGTCGACGAAGCAAAATCCAAGGGCAGGCGACCGTCGGTAGACTATGGCGACTCAACTATCAACTCTCTGGAAGACCTCATCACTCCATCTGCCGAAAGCCCCATGGAAGAGGATACGCTTCAAGGCCTTCAACTACCAACTGAGACTCCCCGCAATGAAGCAGAACGACAGCGACAGCAGGAATTGTTACATCTCCACCGCATGAATGATCGCCTCCGTGCAGCGCGAACCAGCATCCGCGATGCAAGTCGTGGCATGAAGCGCGTCGAAGACCAAGTAGAGCATGTGGAAGAAGGGGAGAATGGCGAGAAGGTCAAAGTGATTAGCCGCACATGCCCTTGCGCGATTGATGGCCATGTCCAGACTTTCTCAATGTGGAAATGGTCCAAGGGTCTATTTTGGGAACAACGATTGAAGATCCTGCGACAAACGTCAGGCAGTCCTTGGAGAATATGGGGCGGGCTTACAGGCTTGAGCATTTGCTTGATACTTCTTTTCACTTGGTGGATGAGTGAAGAGATCGCTTGGTATGTACTTGGGCGTCTGCCCCTCTTGCGTCAAAGAAAACTCACTGACCTACTCCACAGTGAGATGTACTGCCAGCCCATGTACGCTTACTCGTCGCCTTACCCATTCAGCGTCAACGCAAATGCTCCCAAATACCCCTTTGTTATTCCAACCCTTATCTACCGGACTTTCATCCAAAGTTGGTGGGTCCCAATATCTTCCTTCTTCTCATGGATTGGCGCTACAATGTGGGCATGTTTCTTTGGTTTCGAAGAAGCGCATCTTGTCAACCACAGCGCCAGCCAGACCATAACAAGTACAAATACTATAAAAGAAAACCGCTGGATTAGTGAAGAAGCGGCCAAACTTTTAGAAGAGAAGGGCTGGGATCATAGCATGTTTGAAGATGAAATTTTGCCAGGAGGCCGATGAGCATAGAGAAGCGTCCGGTCGTTGTTGTCATTCATTATTTTCTTTTGTGGCATTGGTTCAGCGAGGCGTTTTGTTTGTCAAGGGTCTGGATCGGGAACAGGAGTTGCATACGCCATGATTGTATCACTATGGTAGCGTGTTGAATATCAAGGTGAGCGACAAGGATCTGGTTGGCTTATCCACAGGTCATTGATTGACTGCCGAAGAAATGAAATTATAACATATCCCACCCTTGGTTTCAACATGATCTAGCGAAAATGAAAAGAAACTTTGTGGAACACCGTCACCCGAAGAGTCTCCTTACGATTCCGCGCTGGTCTTCCCTGTCTCCTTGGGAAATCCCGTTTCCCACGCCTCGGCTTTCGGTCGCTAACTGGTTGTTCTGTTGTAGCCTCCCGTGCAGTTCTTGGGCCTCTTCTTGTTCCTCCTTCAACTCTTGCTGCAGCTTTTCTTCGCGTGCCTTCGCCTCAGCTATGAGGACCGAGCCCGCGCTCGTATCTTCGGGTGCGCGTTCGCGGTCTTTGAGTTCCAGCTCTAACAACAAAGGGGGAGCACAATGCTTACTCAATAGCGACGTGATGATCGCTCTACTTGAGCAGTCTACCCCAATATATCGACCGTAGTCAGAGCCTTTATCCAGCATGTCCTTCCAAACGACGGGATCGTCCCCTTGTCTGAATTCCTTCTGTCGTCGTTCAGCTTCGATCGTTGGTGAACCGTGTGGCAACGTGTCCCACATCGTTGATACAATCGCCAGGTGAGAGTAGAAATGCTCACCACATATGGATTGCAGCAGGTGGAGGCTCAGTCGCAACGTTCCGGTCAGAAGACGTTCCTGTATAGGGTGAAGGTAGACTACACCTGCAATGTGGTGCTGATTCTGACGAAGAAACTCCACGATTTCAGAAAGGATCTCTAATCCTAGTCTGATCGTATCGTCAAAACCTGGTGTGTCAATAAAATCGACCGAATGGTTTTGACTCACATCCCATTTCCATGCACGACAAATCTTGGTTTCTGGATGGGGTCAAAGGTGTAACTAAAGATTAGGTATGAGATTTTACCAGACGTTACATCGTGCCCAATGACTACGGGTGAGCCTGTGACTGTGGCAATGAACGAGGACTTTCCAGCTTCTGTCGGTCTCAGTACTAGGATGCCAGTCTTCTCTCTAGAAAGAAGGGTTAGTTCTCTACAGGCCTCGAATCAATCATGTTTGCAGACCAAGAATTCTTACCGAGATTTGGTAACGGCATTGTCGTGACGGGCCATCTGCTACATGCAGAGTGATGTGGGTTGTCCGGGTCGGCACATCACAGGTCATAGATCCAAGTGAAGGTGTCCTGATAAAATTGCAAATAACTCTGTGGTCGTCGATACTTTCATTCAATGCTCCATCGCAAGCTACCAAACAGCGTCGTCCAGGCCTAAGACCATGAGCAGCCATCCTCTCATTGCAGTTATTGGGGTGAATGGCGCTGGAAAATCGACATTCATCAACGTCGCATCCGGCAGGAATGATCTTGGAGTGGGACATGGTATTGAAGCATGTAGATAATGCACCACCAATAGTTGAGCCACTCACTAGCTGACAGGCATCTAGGCACGCAGGACATAACACCAAAATCTGTTTTAGTCGACAATGCATGGGTTAATCTTATCGACATACCAGGCTGGGACGACACATACCGTACTGACACAGATATACTCACTCTTATAGGAGATTATGTGGGGAGGACGTTTAGCGCCGGTCAGCTGTTGCAGGGCGTGATTCTCCTTCAGCTGGTGGATAGCACACGCGTGTACGGAACCGAACGCAGGCGGAACAGATTATACGAGAGAATCTGTGGAATGGACGCGTATCGTAATATCGTGGTTGCTACCACGATGTGGAGTACCGTGGTTGACCAAGCCGCTGCTGACCAACGCATTCAGCAAAGGATTGAATCACCAGAGTTTTGGGATTCTATGGTCCAGGGCGGTCCTTTCGCAACAAGCCCGCCCCCTTCAGCTCCAAACAGAGCTTGTGGGCAACGGCTACGACCTTTCGACTACGTCAGTCGGGATACAACTCACCACAGATATCAAGGCCATGATATTAAGAGACACGACCCGTATAGCGGAGCTGGAAGAGGAACTTCGGAGGACTGCTGCAGACAATGCTGCCATGAGAGCTAGGCTGGAGGGAGATCTTAACGATCTCATCGGGAAGCTGAAAAAGGCGGAAGATGATATCGAGAGACTCAGGCAACGAAGGGTGAGTTTCGCACGGATCTGTCTGTCTACCTACTGACGTTGTCCAGAGATGTGTGATCTTGTAAATCACGATCGATCGATCGATCATGGGTGAGACGGAACAATGTTGGCAAGAAACAATGAAGAGGTACACGCGCCTTTAGCTCAAGATACTACTCGTGTCTCTTCTAGATTCTATATCGAACCCGTGCTTTGATGGGTGGGATAATTGTATAGCTTCTGGTGATTTGCTGGAGCGTCCCGAATGCAAGGGCGTGCACTTCCGTGGTATCGTGAGCAGCGCTACTCCGAGGCACATGATGCTGTGCGCTCTTTCCAGACCATGCCTTCTTTCAGCTCCAAGCTATACAAGCCGCCATGTGTAGATTGCTCAGCCAGAGTTTAATGATGAGCGACAGACGCCAAACTTCAGGCCCGTGTGGACACACCATCGCGCCGCTACCCCAGTCTATTGGCGCGCGCCCCTCGCTTCTAGGCAAGCTTACTTCTGCATCTGGCGTGGTGTCGCGGACTCCAAACATGTGCTACCTCAGACATCCTTGCAACAAGCCATCTGAAACATGCTGATTGGTTTCAAGCGCCGCCCGCCAATTCTCCCACAAACCCAACCATAGATAGGCTTTTGATCTGGGATGTCGTTCGCAGGATTAGGGCCAGACTTGGAACGCGTACCTTGTGGGTTTACGGTGTCTCAGTGTGCGGCGGCTTGTGGGGGCTTGACATGATGGTTAAAAGGCGGAGGGGCTCGCTGCTGCGCGAGAGCAGGTAAAAGCAACGTGAATCAAGTCTAACAACTTGCAGACGTCGCGGTGTAACACTATTCTTATCCTTCGAGCGCGGGCCGCACAACACTTTCATTCACTTCTTATTGACGAATACGCCGCATTCGCGCCGTAGTTTGGGGTCGAACAGGATTACTATTACAGTCTTATCAGCCGCCCTTCGCTCACGACTGTCAGCTTTGCTCTCTGGCGGACTTCTACACATATCATACTGCAGTCTTTAGCCAATCGAACGTTCGACGGCCAAAATGTTCGTCGCGACTATCAAACTCTTCTCTTTCCTTGTAAACCCTGAGTTTTGGACCAGAATCGGCTTCTTCGTCGGCTACATTCTCGCCTTCCTCCTTGTTCTAGAGGTCGTCCGTTTAGCAAGCACAGATGCCAATCGCAAAGAAGTGGAGAAGATGCTAGACGCGTATGCCGCGTCAAGAAACGATGTGCCTGTAAGAAGACGCCCAGAAGAAATCGAGGCGAAGAAGGTGGTGCAGATATCTATCGACGAACTGGAGGACATGGAGAGAAGAAGTGTGGCAGCAGAGAAGGAAAGGACACAACAACTACAAGAAGCACGAGAACGGACACGTACACCTAGCCCTGCAGTGGCTCGGACGCCAGAAACCAAGCATGGTGAGGAGAAGCGGAGACGTAGAGCGACGTCTACCTCTGTATCTCCCCACACGTCCTCTCAATCACATTCAAATCCTCAAACCTCCTCCTCGAGTCCAACTCGTCGTCTAAGGAAGCGGAGCGATACGCTCAACTCCTCCAGCAGCGCAGAAGTCAGAGGTGCTGCTACACGGAGACGCAGGGAGACTTCGCCAACAGAGACTAAGACTCGGGAGTCTAGACACGCGAGTCCAACGCCGAGATCAAGAAGTAAAGAGGCGAAGATCTTGGGTGGTTCGTTGGGGAAGATGCTTAGGAGTAGGGGATGAAGTTAAGGGAGAAGTCAAATCGCATCTCAGGCGTTTGTTCACGCTCGTCACCCATGACTTTACGAGAGATATGTAAATCTGAAATGTATAACACTTGGGTATCTTTTTGATATCGTCTATGCCGCCCAATCGTACTGCGTTCTTCTGTGTTGAAGCTCGACGACATGTCGAGGCTAAGCACCAGCAATGTCATGCATACCCCCAATCTCCTTTTCAAACACCTCAAAATCCACACCTTCGTCCTCGAACATCTTCTTCACTTTCTCCGCAGCTGCAATCTGCCTCTCTTGCGTAAAACCGCCGGGCGCATTACTTTCATACTGGATGAGCTCGACCCACCGGAAGAACAAGCTCTCCTTGCCCATAGCCGTGAGTCGTTCTTTAAACTGTATGACCTTGTCCCTTGCTTCCGTTTCCGAGCCTTCATCAAGCTTTGCGAATTCCCAGACAGCCCATTGCCCATTCTCTGTCTCAGGGTCACCGACGTAAACGAAGACACTTTTGCGAAGGTGATCAAGCGTAATGTCCTTGCGGTCAAGGAGTTGGGTTGCAGCGACCATGCCAAAGAAATCCAGATCAAAGTCTGCATCCATGAGTAGATATCCCGTCTTTTCTCTTAGTCTTGACTTGTCAACCGCGGGTAGAATTCTGGTTTTGAAGAAGGGGCTGTCTGCTCCGGCCCGGCCACTCCCGCCCTCGGCCTCTCCAAGCAGGTCTTTCGCTCCCCATGACCTGCTCACTCTCACGTATACTTCGTCATCTCTGAACCCCACGTTCCACCGCCAGCTCACTGGGTTGCCTGGCTGCTCCACAAAGAAGGTGTATGGCCAGAGTGCCACGAAGCGGAACAGCAAGAAGTCCAGCATGAACATGAGCATGCGTTTTCCCACCCTCCATATCAAAGTCGCCCATGGTGTGGTGGCCCAGTATATGGTGGTTTCGTTATGGTTTCCGAGGATGGAGAGGATAATGGCCCAGTAGTGGGGTCCGATTGCGTACAGGCGCCATAGTATAAGCGCGAGGATGGTCGTGTTCAGGAGGACAGGGACGGCGAATATACGCCGTTTGAACCATGCTGGATGCACATCGACATGTGAAATGTATACGAGCGAGCGGTCAAAGGTGGAGAGGAGGGTGTCGAGTTCGGCCGGAGCTGCGGTGAAGGGCTGTGGGATGGCTTTCTTGGAGCTAGAGTTGGCGGGCTTGACCGCACGTTGCTTGGACTTCGGCGGCATTATGATAGACTAGGAAATCGCGGAAAACTACCACAGGGTTTGAACGAAGCATTGACCGGATTGCATGTGGCACACGTTATTGTTGGGCATGACGTAAAGTCAAGTTCCGACCTCATTCCAAGGTTCCGACAAGTTTCACCGCGCCGAAAATCTGGGGTAGCTGCCATCAGCCATACACGACACCTCAGGACAACCATTGCCCACCTGACAAACTACAACTCCATTCCCCCTGGCTCGACAACAGGGGGAACATCCTAATCCGGTCCTTCATGCAAGGGCGGCACCATCTTTCTTCGATTACCTCTACAGTTTCACATGCAACTTCTATTTCAGGATAAAAGCACAATCGGTCTTTTATTCTGCAAAACACCCGATACACGCATCATCCACCACCGTGCCCCAGATAGTGGTCCGTTTTGGGTTCATCTGGTCGGAGCTCGTTTGACGTTTTCGCCGATCCTCCACTCAGGAAGGGACTGTTGCAGATCTCCGGCATCGCTGAGGAGACCCGGTACTACCATCAGCATTCGATAACGTCAACATAGAGGCGCCTTATTGAGGCACAGCAGACTACACTGAGACTCAGGCAATACTCTTATTCAAGAATAGCATGTCTTGCATACCGCAAGATGTGGCAGCTCCTGGACACCATAGACAGGAGACCCGACGAGAAAAAGCATACTATGCGTTGAGAATAGCAAAGTGTTAGATCAGTGGAAAGATCGCTCGCGTACCACGGGTGCGGTAAGTATCCACTCTCCGAAGAAGCCGGCACCCCGATTTAGTGAAGGCGTTATGCTGCCCACATCTAAGCACGGCTGCGGATAGGCCGCGCACACCATATGGAACCATTGCCCATCCAATTAGAAGCAGACATGGAATCTTGACTGCATACTCGTCATCTAGTTTGCTTATCTGGACCTACTGGTGCCCTGCCCTAAGCGATGCATACTATCGTCTAGACCGCAGCAGTCGAGTGGTCGTAGAACCTGATATACACCACCTCTTTCCCGCCTCCAACGTGGAGCTTTTTGGTCCTCTCCAACCTCCTCTGCAGCAAACGTTTCATACGTCGAACATCAAACAGGCAAAGATGTCTTCGCAGCAAGGAACCCAGGGTCCTCCAGTGAGTGATGTCAACTTCAGCCACCTGCTACGCATAACTAACCATACCCAGGCTGGAGCATCTGGGCAAGCTGGACGAGGCCCCCCGTATGCACCTCTGAATGCCGGCTTGGGTGGAACACCTATGATCGTGCCTGATGTGCCTATCTCAGTCGTTTTACTTATCCTATACCTCATGTTTGGTATCATCCACATCAAGATTCTGAAGGGCAACAAGGGTCGAGGGCATAAGTTCATATTCAATGGCGCTATTCTTGGTATACTCCCACCACACCCTCCGATTGGTATGGCGGCGACTAACATGCCGCAGGTCTCTGCAAGATTCGAGTCATTACAATGTCCTTGCGGATAGCATGGTCCAACTATCCTAGGAATGTCGGTCTTGCTATCGCAGCGAACATCTTCGTCTACATCGGTACCATCATCTTGTACGGTGTGAACTGGTTCTTCGTCCAACGCGTTGTCCGCGCCCAACACGCACGTCTAGGATGGTCAACACCGTACCGCATCTTCCACAGAGGCGGGCTTGTCGTGCTGGTAGCTACACTGCTCATGCTCATTGTCAGCCAGATATGGCAGTTCTTTACGCGCAACCAAAGTAAACTCGATGCCTTCCACGTTTTGTTCGTCATTGCGCAGACGTATTTCACCATATTCTGCGTCGCACCAGCTATTCTCGTCGGCGTCTCTCTCCTCATCCCACGAACAGAAATTGACAAGTTTGGTGCTGGCCGACTGAGATATAACATCACCATCCTACTCATCTCGGTGTCCCTCCTCTCTATTGGACAGATATTCCGATGCGTATTGGCTTGGATTCCTGCAATTCCATTGGTCGATGTTCAGCGCGGCATTGTCGAGTTGCCATGGTACTTGAGCAAGGGAAGCTTCTACTGCTTCAACTTCGTTACTGAGATCCTCGTCATCATCATGTTCGCTGTAGTCCGTGTCGACCTACGCTTCTATGTGCCAAACGGAGCAAGAAAGTCAGGCGACTATTCTAGAAGTCGTATCGACCTGCACGACGAGAACGAGAAGAATCTACCTCTCCCAGCGCCCGTACTTCCTATTTCAATGCTGCAACCGAACGACTCAACCCAGACATTGCACAGATATCAGTCCTCAGTGTTCGAGGATACACAAACACTAGCTGATTCGCTGCAATACCCTCACTCCACACTAGAAGTGGATGACAAGACAGGCAGCTGGAAAGTCAAGCGCCTCTCGGGCGATTCTTCGAGAAGTCGGCATACCACCATTTCATTCGCGACCTCATCTAAATCGACGCTAAATGACAAGACTCCGCGCGCCGAAGCCAACGTGCCTCCAGTTCCTGAGCTTCCCGCCGAGTGGCCATTGCCAGCTTCTACCCCACCGCCGAATGCAAGCTCCGTTTTGGAGCATACAAATCCACCCTCGCGCCGAGCTACACCACAACGAGAGACCTACGAACTTGAGCATCACCAGTTAAACGAGATAGACGTAGGTGATGCGGTGACCGACGCCCTAGCAAAGTTGGAGATGAATAGTGAAAGACCAAAATCTAGCCTTGCGACACCACCTTCAAGATCACATCGAAAGTCTCCAGTTCAGGTTTATACGCCGACTCTACCCTCTACAAACGATGGTCGCTCACCGTCTCGAAATGCCCGCAAGCGAGTTACCTTTCCACAGAAAGAGGTCATTCGCAGTCGCGCGAATAGCGCCAACTCTCAGGGGGTCCGAAGAACCCCTGCTGTCGAAAAGATACCCGAAATTCCAATTCAAAGGCCTACGGAGTCGTCGATCAGACCTCCTCACCGCCCCAGTCCGGCAAGAAGTCCCAGTCTAGAGATTATCTCACTACTCAACCACATGAGCAGCGATTCTACTCGAATCGTAGACGCATCGCTCCAGCGAACACGTGCTGCCTCAGTCGCAGGATCGGAGGAACACAAGACGCCCAAGACTCCTGTCACCCCTTTCGCTCCTGTCACACCCGCTCCCTACATGATGACACGACAGACAAGTTCAAAGTACAGTTCTGATAATAGCTCCACGAGCTCCGATGCAAGAGAGCGAGAATTGGCGAGGGAGGAATTCCGTCGTTTCAGCTCAGAAACGCCGCTCAGGTATTGATGCAGCGGTGCCCACGAAATTATGACTTTCATTAATCTCTAATGCTTATCCATTGTATATCGACACTTGACTGGTGCCTCTGGCAAATTGCACCTATGGTGCGCTACGCATACAGTGGTCCATACACCGTTCCCTATCGAACGTTTTCCTTCTTGTACATACCTACAACTCAGATCTGAGAATTTCCTATTTAAGTCTCTTAGGCGTCTAGTTTTATACAATCAAACTCCCATTACCTGTTGCCTAAGCGGCACGGCGTTATTTTCATATCCGCTCCGGTTCTTTGTCTCCACCTCACATTTCAGGCAACAACATTCTTGCAGCCACTATTCGTTCGTGACAGTATATACAATCTGGAAGTGCACCAAAGCACTGAAGGATGAAAATGATGCGTGGATCTACATGCCACTACAAGCGGAGCGGGATGCATCAGGACATCCGTTGCGTACAATCGAAGTTTTATAAAGTGCTTGAAGACAATGACCAATATTTCGAACCACCAATAACCCCACGAACTTTGACCATAATCCAAATCTCCCAATATCACTAAGATGTGCCCCACTAAGACTCCCATCCGCGTCGGCGTCCTCTACGAAGAAACTCAAATGACCGTGGGTGTCTCTGTTGCAGAGGTACCAGAGATATACACTGACTTTGTACACCCCATATATAGGACCTTGCGGGCCTTGACCTCCTCGGCAACTTGACTCCCCAAACCATCAATCTGATCGCAGCTATGAATCCGCAGTTCGCTTCCATGGTGCCCCATGCCATCCCCATGGACTTTCTCTATATTTCTTCCTCCATGGATTCCGCCCATGTCACACCAGACATGTACGTGCGTCCCACGCACACCTATGCGACTGCTCCACGCGATCTCGATATCCTGCTCCTCGGTGGCCCAAACCCAGCTACTGTCAAAGAAGAGAGCCTGTCGTTCTTGAAGGAGGCAAGTAAGCAGACCAAAGTCATTCTAACGACATGTACGGGAGCCATGGTAAGTTGTGCCTATACGAAATGCATGTGAGACATACACTGACTTCGTATTTTCAAATCTGCAGTGGTTGGCAAGGAGTGGGGTGTTGCAGGGGAAGAAAGCTACTACAAATAGGGTCATGTTGGACGTGGCGAGCAAGATGTTTCCGGGTACGGAGTGGGTAGATCGCAGGTGGGTCGTTGATAGGGGTTGCTTCGATGGTGCGGAGATTTGGACCGCCGGTGGTGCTGGGTGTGGTGAGTCCTCCCAAAATGTGAATCTGATAGAGCTTGTACTAACTACGATGTGGGTATTGACATGTTCATCGAGTACACGTACCAGAACTTCGATAAGAAAATGGTCGAGTTTGGATGTGTCGGATTGGATTTCGACTACGAGGGGCGTTCCGAGTTTTACAAGGGAAAGCTGCCTGACATGACCATGTCTTAGTTCTGTAGAGGAACTAGAACTTCGTAATTCGGAGAAGTCGTGGGAAAGTTAGAGGCTCAAAGCGTACACGACATGGGACGTCAAGCTCATATGAAGTCTATGGCGCTCTCCTCCTGGGAATGAACTGGCGCAAGTAGGTTTCTTACTTGTCTTACTCTTAACTATACAATATCTGTCATATAAAATGCTGTCCTCTCTTTCACATGTCCCACTGTAAAGTCAAGATTCAGGCAACGGCGCCATCGCCTTACCTTTATTTTTGGGAAGGACAGAATGCATGCATGTTCATACATCAAACACTTGCTCCTTTTGGAAGATCGAAAACGGATTGTTAATGCAAAGATAAGAGGACATGAAATTTGACAGAGTCTGACAACCTGTAAATGCACTAGCACCAACACATTCTCACTTTCGTTCCTCTTCTGACGTGTGCTGATGATAGACTTGGCTAGTTGCGATTAAGCTGATCGTCACTATTCTCCTTGCAAGCGGTTATGAAGATATCAGCACAGACGCGTTCACACTACAACACATTCGACTTCATTAACATTCTCGATTTTCCCATGCTATGTACTTGGTATACGAGCGTGCAATATCCATGTACATGTAGTCGTACAAGGAGTTCCAACTCAAAATAGGCACCGCGTCTCCTTTTCCTACAAACATTACTTCGGTGCCGTGACCACGCCTTCGTACTCTCGACTCGCTATGTAATCCAGAGTACGCTGAAAGTGTTTCCTTGGGTTCTCAAGCGAGGAAGCATTCTCGTTGGATTGTAAGTTTGAGTGGATGAGCTCGATGAGGCCGTTGAGGTACTTCGTTGTGACCTGCTCGTTGTTAGTGACATTCATATGAAAGGAGAAGAGTGCAACTTACAGCGTCGTTCTCTTGGTCGAAGTAGTAGACATATCTGTTGAGTATCTCAACAAACAGCTCAACAGAGACCGCAGCGTCCATGCATGCATCGGCCACGCGGAGAGCACGCTGTAAGCACTCAAGCACACGCTTGCCATCGCGATAGAGCTATACTTGTCAGCATCAATCTTGTCAAGAGTAGAATTGATTTCGCTCACGTTCTTTGGATCCTCTTCGCCCAACGCCCTGATCTCAGTCGCCCACCACAGGTGACTTGCAAGGTATACCGCACGACATTGATCTGGCTTCTTGAGTAGCTTGCTTCCATGCAACGCGCACTTTGTAATCAAGGTGTCGTAGTTCTCCTTGCCAAAGTTCCTCGTTGTGTGTAGGCCACTCGCAATGACGCACACAGCCTGGAACTGCGCTCTTGAATCACTAATCGCTTCCTCATATATTGTAAATGCTTGCGCGAAGAACTCGTACGCGACCTCTTCAAAACCGTTCTGGTCTGCTACTTGACCGCAGGCGATGAAGAGGCGGAGCGAGAGATCTGCGGAACCTGTAACGCGGGTGTACAGTGTCGATAGGGTATTGTGCATGAACTTGTAAAGAGCTGATGACTGCGATTGCCAGTTGTCTTCGAAATGTTCGCGCTTCTTGTATTGACGTGCGAGCTTGAGTGATGCTGTGATAATGGCCGGGGATGTGTATTTGACACGCTCGTTGCCTTCGGCAAAAGACTTGCGCGCAGCTTGGAGGAGCTGAGAGAGCTGTTAGTGTGCATCCTGGTTGAACATTAATTTTACTCACCTTGAATTGGGTATCGTTGTCCTTGCCACGGATGAGATGTACTATCCGCGCTAGCCATCCTTGCTCTTCTATTGTCTCTTCTGTCTCCTGTGCTCGTCTTTGGATTGGTCCACCTGGGTATCCTTGGGCTTGTTGGATGCCTTCGCGAATGAGGACCTTGAGAATCTCCAGCACACTTTCGAGATTCTCTACAGATGCAATGAAGGTCTGATTCCGCATCAGACTCCTTGCGACTTCGCCAGCAACTGCTCTCCGAGTCGGGTACGGTTGTGAATGTAGAAGAGGGATGAAGTTCGGTAACGCGAGCGCGGTGAAGAGAGAGATGTAGGTCTTGATCGGCGAAAGGAGGAGGCTGAGGATCTGGCTTTGGGTGGCTTGTGAGTGTAGGTCGGCGCTGTTTTGGTATTCGGCGACCTTTTGGTTTGCAAAGGTAAGGACTTGGTCAATGTAATCGAGTCTTTCGGGATATATGTTTCTAGTAGAATTAGCACAGTCGTCGTTGTCATCGTAAATATTTGTAGAACATACAAGGCGAGGTTTGCCAGCGACACCAGTAATCCGATTGTGTCCTGTATTGGCAACCGCTGCATCTTAACCAGCGTCTGTACCTGTTCGTGAAAGATCTCGAACAGCTTGACGTTGTTGGGTATACCGCGCCTCTTCTCGATATCACCATCTGTCTCGGTCGCTTGGTTTTCTTCAGTCTCAGCAGAGGTATCCGTTGGTTTGGGGGGTTCTTCGGAAGCCTCTTCTGTGCTTGGTTCCGTCTCCGAAGTCTCTGGTGCGTCTCCATTCTGCTGCGCTGGCGCTGGCTCTGGTTCGGCCGCCTTCTTCTCCTTTGCTATCCGCATTTGTTCCATGAGCTGTGCTATAGACTCTTCTTCCGTCTTCTTGCGCTGTTCTGGGCTTTCGGACTCGGCTTCTCTTTGCGCATACGACGACAATCGGTCCATGAGGCCCACGACAATGGCTTTAACGTTTACATGTGGGTTCAAACGCGCAACGGCAGAGAGGAACTGATCGAGCGTGTGTAGGTGGAATTCGTCAGGGAAAACCTGTGTGACAACTGCTGCATGTTAGCGGTCTCCGCGTGTCCACAGTTTGAGACATACCCTCCAGTAGGTATTCTTGCGCTAGAACATCCCGACATTGTACAATCTGCTCTAGCAACGGGTTCAAGATCTTCTTGTAGTTCTCCAAGTCAACCAATTGGCTGAGTCTGACCAGGTTACTTCCCACGAGAAGTTGCAGTTCCTGGCGCTCTTTGGTACGCTGTTCGCGCTCTCTCGAATGTCCCTGATGTTGTAGTCGCACCCACAGCTTGTTCATCTCGACGAAGTTTGTCAAGATGAAGCTGATGGAGTCCTGGAGATTGCCCTCGGGCCCCTCGCTGTCGCCAGATGGAAGGCAGTCGCGTGCTTGACCCGCAAGGTAGTACCGCAAAAATAGACCACGGATAGGGTGTTGGACTCCGCGACTCATCTCCATCATGTCCTTCATAATCTCCTTAACAGGCGCATCCTCAATAGCCATGTAGACGGTCCCGACAGTGACCATGAGGTACAGGCGGGGGATGATATTTCCGGCATACTGGACGAGTTCGTAGAGATCGGCGAGGTGATTTACGGGGTGGTTCTCGCGGAGGTAGACAGCGAGATGGCGCAGGGCATCGAAGACGGCCATGTAGAGCTCGTAGTACTGCTTCGGGCCGAGGCTGCTGGTCCGAAGTTCGGAAACAAGTGTCGAGCTGTGCATTGGAGTCATTAGCACTACAGCGCATAGCCAGAACAGCCCTCATATCACGTCACACGCGTACCTGCACTTGAGCGCATCCATCAACTTGCCCGGCGTCTCGAGACACCGCCGCATGAGCATCGTCTGCTGGCGCACCACGGCGAGGGCATCTTCGAGCAGACGAGCTTGGTCTTCTACGGGGGGCGGCGACGCCATTGTGTGCGAGAGAAGCGGATCGTCCGGGGTTGTGGAGAGCTGGTCGTGGTGGATAGGCACCGCCGCCTTGGGCGTAACCGTTCGCCAAGCCAGCAGGGATGGGAGCTTCCCCTTCGAGCTGCGTCATCACTAGTCTAGCCATCACTCTTCCATTTCAAAACTTGCGCTTGTTCATGAATCTATTATCTAATCTAATTGTACATGTGTGCTCGTCTCACAGACGCGTCTAGTCATCATGCTTCAAATCCTCGCCATCATATGATGGCTTCCAACCATTACTCGTATATATCGTAAAACACAGTAGAAGAAAAGAACAGGCGGATCGGACCAGTCCACCGCCCAAGCGAGAGAAGAGAATGAAGGCTCCATTCAACGCACCTCGGGATAATGCCTTCCCGTGGGGTGTGAGAGAACAAGCTCGTGAAGCCGGCTACGGGGCCGCCGTGACCACTGCGGCAGCCTCGAACGTTTTGATGCGGTAGTAGGTGTGCCACATGCCATCGTCATAGTACTCGGTAGGACCATCGTCCTTCGATATTGTGACGGTAACGAATATTGGCTTCGGCGTCTCGATTGGTGTCGAGATGCTACTAGAGAACGAGCTTGAGATGGTTGATGTTGCGATGGATGTTGATGAAGGTACCGACGGATTGGGAATTGATGAAGATCCTCCCGGAGTCGACGTCGACGTCGTTGTCGGAGCGGGTGTTGACGAAGACGAAGACTTCGATGCGCTGCTCGAGCTGCAGCTGGTTGTCGGTGCTGGCGCCGGCTGAGGCTTGATGACAGTTGCAGTAACTTCCTGAGTGACTGTTGCTCCCGGACCGACGACTTCGACAGTCTTTGTCGTCTCAATCACCGAAGTGGCTGTCGCAGGCACTGGAGTTGATGAATCTCCACCAACATTGACAACCGAATAGCTCTTGTCGCGTCGACCAATGTCGAGTGGTTTTGGTGAGTCAAAAGGCCGACCAGTGACCAGTGTGGAGAAAAGCGCGGCCAGAGCCAGAGTTCGGGGGTTGAGAAGCATGGTCTTGAAAGTATCAAAGAGGCTTATTGACTGTCCGGCGCCGTTGATAGTCGTGTACACGTGTTGAGCACGGGTTCGGTGTTGGTATGCGCTGGCAGAGAACAGAGTGGGAACTGCGATGTAGGTATCCGTTTATTAGATCCATAGTAGCTGCCGTTGTGTTGCGTAATTTCTCGGAGGCTGGAAATGTGGTGGTTGGGTGATGGCTGGTAACGCACGGGCCACATTTGACGCGACGTGGAGGCGACCGGCTGGAACCATCCAAAACCTCTACTACTAACCACATAGTTTGGAACTGTCCGCTCTATCCGAAGCATGTTGTTATCAGTCAAAATGTCGCACCCTTACATCAGAACGCTGATGTGAGATGAAATCCTGGCATTGCAACACGAACTAACTCATCGCCTCTCAACACCCCTGTCCTGTGTGCCTCCTGGCATTTCCTGCGGCGGATGGTGCTTATAGCTCAACGGCATCTCCTGAGCATCATGTGTTCCTTGCGCTTCTAATATCGGACCACCTTGGAACTGACTACCGTATGGGTTCGCATTCATCTCCTGGGCCTGGTATGGCTGGTACTGGTGCGGTTTGTCTTGAGCCTCAACCTCAGTCCTATATGCTAGCCCGTCCACTTCATCTCGCTGACCTATCCACGGTTGCGGCGGGTTCGTCTGTGACATCTTCGGCTGTAGCACACTCGCCTGTGTCTGTGCCTGTTCGTTTATTTGTCGCGTTCGCTTCTTGCTATGCCGTCGGAACGCCCAGATAGCCAGGCCAGCGAAAAGGAGAAACAGTCCTACTCCAACCCCCACGCCTATGCCAATTGTTCTCTGCTGCGCTTTCACGGCATTGTCTTTATCAGTAGTCAGTCGGACTGGACCGTTTCAATGCTGTAAAGATGAACTTACCGAAGGCGCTTTGCGCATCGTTCTTTGCATTTTCTAGTATCCAGAATTAGGTATTCGAACGTGAGACAAGACCTCGAGATGTACTAACCGTAGTTACTGTTCGGAGCAGACGTGCTGCAAATGTATTTGTTGGATGAGTCTTGTTCGCAGTTGTCAAGATTTATTGAAGTTGGGAAGGACATGATGAGGAAGTGATATCTTGATATGCAAATTTGCACCAACGCATGCAAATTGATACTGTATCAAAGGGAATGTCGGTAGGCACTACCAATATTCGCAAGACGATCGAATTGTTCTACTTATATCACCGCCAGGCGATGGCATCACAAGGCTATGTCCATCCTTCTCATGGTGAGTAGCACCCAGCTAGCTCTTTCGAGTATAGCTCATAGAGTCCAGGAAACGCTCCGCGCACCAGTAGAGCTGATTGGCAAACTCTCAGAGTGCCAAGTACGCACACAGCCTCGTTAAGGTGGCCTTCAACCGGACGCCTAATGTGGCAGGAAAATCAATGTCCTCTTTGGGGTGTGCAACAATGATCACTTCCAGGATTTCTGCCTTGCACTACGGTAAAGTCGGATTTATCCCTACGCTATATCGGTTCCTCCTCTCGCGTCTTCCGAAATCCATCAACAGTGGCGACAGCGGCACAGCAACAACTCGCGAAGGTAACACAGCTGACTGCGAACTGCATCAGATGTTCAGTCTATCATTACTCATTGTGGGGTTAGGAGTACAACCTCCCTAGCTACATTCATCTGTTACCTCACAACACAAGAAAATCGAGCTCCTCCATTCATTGACCAAACTTATCAAGGCGTCTTCGCCTGTCCGTCCGCCATACTCGGTTTCGGGTTTCCCTCGAAGCTCTTTGCATGTTTCCAGCCCTCTTCCAAAGAATTTGCAAAGAGTCGTGTAGTGCCCCAGACATCGAACTGCACAGCAATTGCTCGCATACCTGACTGAATGGCCATTGGTATCTGGTCTACCCCCATCACACCACTGATCATCATTAGCTACCTTTTTCAAGATCGGAAAGGACCATAAACTTACCCAAAGATAGGTAAATCATGCTTGGCGGCCGCAGCATTGAACTTGCCCATCGCCTCGAAGAACTTGGGATCAGGGTTTCCCTTCAAGAATCCATCGATATCCATACCAGCCTCAATCATGTAATCTCCAGGGCCGAACATGAGACCAGAGATGCCTTCTACTGCAGCAATCTCCTCGCAGTTCTCAACACCCTTGACCGATTCGATCTGCGGGATGATACAGACGTGATTGTTCGCTGTCTGCACCTGGTAGGCATCGTTGGGGTAGAGAGACTGGGTCATTCCAGGAGTGAAGGTCCAGGGACTGAATGAACGGTGGCCTTTGCCGCCTAGAAAAACGTTTTAGTATCATGGGGAAGATGAAGAGAAGAAAGGGTGACGTACCGCCAAAGTACATCTCTTTCATGAAGTCCTTGACTTCTTGGGCGGTCTCAACATGCGGGATGACGATTCCGGCACAACCTGCATCAAGTGCTGTTGTGAGGCTGATTTCGTCATGTTTTGGTACACGGCAGATGACCATTGATTTTCCCTCTGAGTGATGCTGTGCGGCGTGGATGCAACTGTGTCGCATCGGTCAGCGGTATGCTCTCATGTATACCCCAGCCCTAAAACAATCTCATGGTTGAACATCTTAACAAGACAACTTACTCGTGTAATGTCAACCGGTTGTACATGCCATGCTCCACATCGAACCAGATGAAATCTGGCTTCGTGGATGCGATCAACTTGGTCATAAAGGTACTTGGGATGCCTTGTGCGATGCCCATGAGACTCTTACTCGCATCAGCTTGAGCGTCTTTGAGCGCTTGCTTGAGATTTGCAGGTTGTGTGAGCATAGCAGCGCGGTAAGGGGCTTTGGTATGGAGCTCGGGCTGCTCGCTGTAGGGTTTGAAGTCCGCCATTATGAACGGTGTTTTGAATGTAGCAGAGATGGGCAATAATATGAGAATAATGCAGGCTCAATAAAGGTCAGGAGGAAGAGCTTTGGATGTTTCTGTAGAGGTGCTGCCTTCAGTCTGGAAGGGGTACTCGAGTATTTATGTAGATTGAGTACATTTTCATATCTTTATCGTAGAAAGTAAGCGGTAGCACTGGAACGGAATGGCCACGACAGCTGCCTCGATAGAGCGTCTACTCTACTCCACTGGTAAGGTATGAAACGTGGGCCATGACGGTGGCCTCGTTTCTTAGTGCTTATTACCTAACACATTTCGCCCTGGTCGTAGTATGCGTTAGCAACATGCTATCCTTACCCCTAACGCGTCGTTGTTACGAGATCTACGCAAGAGAGAAAGCAACTGCCCTTTCAAGAGCATACACATTGGGCAGCACATCGATATGAAACACTACAGTAGATGGCAGAGACCAACAATCAAATAATTTCATCCTTCTACGCGAGGGGTATCAAAGCCTTCATTACTACAAGTGCTGACGCTGACTGATTTTACAAAGCTGAAATCTATGCCATCTGTATTTGGCACGATGATGATGCAGTATGACAGTGGCGAATCGGGTGCTAGAGAAGAAGAGTGCACCTGGTGCCTAGACTACAGCACTTTGGATAATAGTGCTAGAGCAAGCGAGAGGCTGATGCGCGAGGCTCGCAGTTTCGTGTTGCCCAGCGCTTATAGCCGTTAACTCCATACAGCATGTAGACCAAAGGTACCATACTTCCGAACACAACGCCTTAATCTCGTGGCAACAAAATGTGCTCGGATTTAGTGAAGCCTTCACAGATGCTAACGCCGAATAAAGGTGTAAAAGTTGTCCGAGAGCCCGAATCGGTCCGGATGGTGTAGAAACGGACCGTTATATCCAAGAGGTTCGTGGGGTACATGGCAGGCTTTCAATAACCTTGTGATAACGTCGAGGTACTCGAATATACTGGCGACGGATGTATTACTATCGAAGGATGTGCGCATTGACACTCTGGCGATGTTGACCGATCAACTTGCGTGCTTGAGTATTGGCTCGGAGATTTCATCGATGTTCGGGTTGTCAACACTTTGGGAGCGCCTTTTCCCATCTCATTGATTCCCATAGGCTTCTCTTCGATATCCATACTCTTCTTTTCCATCTCTTCCGCTGCCATGATGCCCGTGTTCTTCTTCTTTTTCATACGCTTTGGTATATCCATAATGATAGCAGCGACGACGATGAGTGCCAGAAGGCCCGCGACACCACCCACAGCAATTACGGCGACTATGCTGGTGGAAAGACCACCGAGTTTGCTTTCTGGTCCGGACATTGCGATCGAAAGAAGATGCTCGGCGTTGGCTAATATGAGGTTGGTTGACACAACAGAGCAGAATAGCGATAGTAGAAGGAAGTTTGAACAACGGTCACTATAGTGAGCTAGAGTAGTATATGGTTGAGCTGAATGAATGAGGATGGAACGAGTGTGAGTGCGTTTGCAGCGCTTCGAAGATGTGGGTTCATTTCAACACCATCGCTGCGTAGCGGTCTCCTTATACAAATCGTCTCATGACCTGTCGTCGGTTTCTCCAAGCAAAGGAGCGAGCATAGTTTCCCATGTCGAGCGATTCTAGGCCGGCAAGCGTCCACATCGTGCCAAAACTTCAGCTGGTGGCTTTTCCATCGAGCAGATACAGCGACACTACATCTTTTCCGAAGCCAACGACGCAAGCCACGAGGCTGGGCGTCATGGGCATGTTGTTTGTCTAGTCAGCCGGCTTCGCTGATGTGCGAGTAAAAATAGTCGATTATCCCAAGCGGTGCTGGTAGTACATGGGCTGATTTGCTCAGGGGTGCTAAGGCTGAACGCTAACGCGATGAGGTGTTTCGGGCGTGCTGGCTGTATCGAATTCAGAGCGCTTTCATCTTCACTGGCTCACTTTATGTTCGAAGCGAGAAGTGTGTTGTGCAGCGCATCACTTAGCGGCATGCTAGACCGGTGCTTGATGAACGTTGTTGCATACGTTTTGCTCACAGGCTGGGGATATCTGTTTGTTCGGTCTGGAAGTCGAATGGCGTCTTACGTGGATGTGCCGGCTGATGCGGTGCCTGACATCAAGCACTCGAACTCATGAGGCAGTGTCAGTCGAGCCGCTGAACGGTGAACGGTGAACCGATGCATGAAGCCCTTTATTCAGCATAGTGAGAGGAGCTTGTCGGGGCGGCCGAGGTTTCGCTGGACTGTACGTAAGAACTAGTCACCGACTAGTGCTTCTAGCGCCTGGCTGACTCCACGTTTTTCGGTCGCAGCCGCGGCGGTTCTCGACTAGGACAGAGGCTTCGCTTCGGACAGTCACAACGTGGAGATTTGCACTGGCTCTACTCTTACGATTACCCAGCTACCATTCCAACGGGCTGCTAGCACTTTTGAGATTTATACCCCACAATCAAAACAAACTTAAGCATCGTAGTAAAAGCATCACAAAACCTTAAAACTAACTCTCGGCTGCACACAACGAGAGATTGCGACGGAAGACATTCGTTCTAACCACCAAACCACTGTCGCAGACGACTAACCGAGAGCACAGTAGAGTTCATCGAACGTTCGAACGCCACTAGATCGCCGATTGCTAAGATGGCTCCCGGCACTAAATATTACAACTTGCGAGTCGACAGTGCGCCATGTTCAAATACCATCCGGGACCAGTATTCCTCGATGATCCCAAAGCTCTCATTGTTTGATATGTGCATTGTCAAGTAGCAGGTTCTCTTGGAAGAGCCCATTCAGACGCATTAGATCAACCAGAGTTGACACTATCTTGATGCAAGAAAAATTATCAGGATGATGAGACCGGCCTTCACCGCGTTCATAAACTTGCGTTCTCTTCCAATCGTCCAGGCCGGAGTCGACACCAGAGACGTCGAGAGAAACACGTTACGATGCTTCAATCCTTCTTGAGGAAGTCATATCATCGCCTTGTATGTTGTCAATCTTAAGAAGCGAGGTGGTGGAGGAAGAATGCGAAACTCGAGAAAGAGAATGGGTTGTATGCGCCATCAACACAAGAAGGCATAACTAATATGGATAGTACAATATGAGACTAGATGACTAGACGTAATTGTCTAATGGTGATGGTGATGTTCACCAAAATTGACATCGATATAATACCAACATATGAAGCCGAAGCCCAGCACTACATACGAGATGGACCCCCAAACCAATGATGCAATGTTGCCATTCTTTCATTACGCCCAAAACACCATGTAAATGCAACTCTGCTATACACACATATACGTATTTCAGCCGAGCCTGTCGCTCGCGCGGTTCAGTATATCAGCCGTCTTTTTGATCGCTTTGGCAGCGGCGTCCCAGTCTTTCTTCTCGATTGCCTCGCGTGCAAAAGGGAAGACGCTGGCTTCCAGGCCGTTGTTAAGATCGGGGGCGAAGATGACGTGTTTGTATTGGTCGCGGTTGGGGAGCTATGCGTGTGTCAGTCGATGTTGGCCATGTTTATGAAAGAATGAGTGGAACTTACACCATGAGGCCCCTTGTCATCTTTGCCCCTTGCAAGATCAAGCAAGTCGGTCTCAAAACCCGCAATTCTTCCGTTGTGCGCGACTCTTTGTATAGTGACACCACTGCTCTCAAAGCCACCAGTCGCGTAGACTTGGTTATACCAAGTTTGTTCCCAACGCCCAAACGCCTCTGCCTTCTTCTTGAACATACTAAGGCTGTCTACCAGAGGCTGGAAAATCTCAATGTCGTACTCTCCACCACCGCTCACTTTCTCAGTCCAGTCCAACAGCTTTTGGCCCTCTTCTTGCAAAGAGCGGGCATAGTCGTCAATCTTCATAGGGATGATGGGCTCTTGGGCAAGCTCGAGGATAAGGAGAACCCAGAGTTGGGTGAGCAGCGCATGGTAGGAGAAGGAGGGGTCGATGTATTTGCGCATCCAGGAGAGCGTCTCATAGCAGCTGCGCGCGATGGGGTTCGATTGGCCTTCTTTAGTAGTGAAGCCAAAATCGAGCGAGGAGGTACCGACGATGGACTGGAAGGCTACGTAATCACTTCCAGCCCCTAAATTACCGATCTTAGAGTCTGACGTCTCCCAAAGTTCTTTTAGAGTCTTGTTCTCGTGGGGATCGGACAGTCGGTCGAGCACGCGCGTCCAGGCGTGTTGGAAGATGGGGGAGCCGTTGGCCCAGAGTTTGTCACCTGTCACGCCCACATCGACATTGAGGTAAGCAATAGCGCTATCGCGAAGGGCTTGGACGTTGGCTTCAACGTGCTCTGTGGAGCCGATTCTGTTGTATTCACCAGCGTCCCAGGAAGCAAACTCGATAGTGCGGAGGGGTCGCCACCCCTGAGTACGCAACTCGCCCAGCACACGAACGACTTCAAGCATAACAGCCGTGCCAGAGCCCGGGTCTGCTGCACCGAAGCACCAGGAATCGCGGTGGTTTCCGATTACGATCTTGCTGGCGGGGTCTTCGCTGCCCTTGAGAGATCCGAAAACGTTGGTGATGCGCTGTTGTTCGACCTCATCCTGGTCGTTTTGCAGGAACACCTTTGGAGAAGTCTTTGGATGACCAGAGAACCATTTGTCGCCAACATCCGGTACACCGCCAACCCATTCATCCGGCAGCTCCTCGCCTGAGCCCTTGAGCGACTTGAGGAGTTTCTGCGCATCCTTCCAGGAAAGTGGTAGACTTGGGATCTTGGGTAATGCTGGGTTCTTATCTCGCGGCATACGCTCCACCTTCTTCACACTCGGCCGTCCAGGCGTAAGGACATCTCCCATGATCATGTTTGTCTGTGCAACCGAGCCTCGTTGCACGCTGTCACCAGGTCGCCATTTGCCATCCGGCCAGGGATTTCCCTTTTTGAAGCCGTCGTCTGCTGGGTCCGAGTATACCAATACACCGGCGACTCCAGCGTCTTGCGCATATTTGACTTTCATGGCTAGGTCCGGTTGTGTGCCGTAGTATCGGCAAAGCACGATTGCACCTTGCACGTCCACCTCGCTATCCCATAATCGCTTGAAGTCTTTCTTGTCGCAGTAGTTGACGTATATCAGAGGTCCGGTAGCGTTCCCACTCGCGGACATAGCGTGGTAGGCGGGTGTTTGCGCTTTGGCTGGATTGAAGACGGACGGTTCTTCGAGTTTGGCTTCCCATTTCTTCTCCGGTGGATCCACAATGGCGACTTTCCGGCCGCCCTTGTTCGCATAGTTCATGTATACGTAGTATCTGCTCAAGTCAGCGTGGGGCTCAACAATGCCTCGGATGTCTAGCATACTCATCATGGGTATATGTATCCATGTGTGCGTCCTTGAATTTGCCTTCGATCCACTGGCCCAGCACGTAACTTCCCTCGGTTCCGCCTATGTGGTCGTAGCTTGTGATGTACTCGAGATTCTTCTCAATTCTCCAGCTCTCCACGCTCCCCATGGCCGTCGACCGTACCCACTCGGGGTTGAACGGGGTGCCGAATCCACCGCCCATGGGCACCACCTCGCTGACGACCAGAAAGTAGACGAGGATTATGATCAAGATGAGACCGAACAGTCGCGCAATGATGGACCATCCTGGCTTGTACTCTTCTGGTATGGTGGGTATATGGTCCGTCACGGCGCTGAAGTTGGGACGCCAGCTCGGCCAGGGTATCCGGGGCAGGTTCCAACTGGATAGTGAATGTCTGATACTGTAGAAGCGTTTCGAGAACCTCCCTCTTGATCTGTTCCGCCTCGCCCGTCCTTCTTCGACGGCCTCTGGGTCCAGGATATCCATCTCCTCCATGGTCTGGCGCAGGTCCTCGTCCTGGCTCTCCCGCACCGGACTCCCGAGATCCGAGTCGCCATCGTCGTCTACCGACTGCACTGAAGGAGCCTGGTAGTATCCATTACGCCTGCGCGGATCCGACTGGACGCGGACATCCGGGCTCAGCAGGCCTTGCCGCTCGGCATCGTCGCTGGTCTCGTTGGGTCCCAGGCGCGCAGGGGCATTGCGCGACGAGGTTGCCTCGTCGTATGTGGGGATGGGCGGTGGTGATGGCTCGCGGACGTAGCCATGCTTCTCGTCGCTCATGGCGAGCTAGTGGCAGGGAGGGGGGGGCGTCGTCGTACACGGGTTGGGCGAAGTCGTGGGAGGGGGTGCTCGCCCGCGGCGAATGGTCCGCGAGAGCGAATGATGGGTAACTAGGTATGCGGATGCTTCAGAGAGTAATTGGTGACATGGGCTATCGATTGCGCATGTACATGGTGGACGGATCTAAGGAGTGACGGCAAAATATAGGAATACACGCAACAAGAAAGTCGACGAGGGGCTACGTCTTGTCTGGATGTTGCGGCAGACTGGTGGCAGATGCATCTGGGGATAGCGGAGCGGAACACGCGCGCCGAGACCCTGTCCAAGATCCTTGGTAGTTGAAACCATGCCACTGTCTTTTGCGACTTCATCACCACAACAAGTGTTTGAACTACGAGGGGAGTTGAGTTTGCCAAGTGTCGCACGAGTCTTGCACTTTCTCTACATATTCCTGCCTCCAGTCACCTTGATCGTCTCTCCGTTCACATAGCTGAACAGCGGACTCGCCACGGCCAACACGGCACTCGCGGCCTCCGTCGCCGTACCAGGTCTCCTCAGCGGAATGTCCATGTGCTCCTGGCCCTGACCAGCACCCGCCTTCTGTGCCTGTGGTATACCCAGCGCTACCTTCTCGCCGTCGGGTGTCGTGATGAAGGCGCCAGCCTCCTTCGCCGCCGTCAAGCGCGTCTGAATATGACCGAAAGCAACCGTGTTTGCGCGCACGCCGAATTGAGGGCCCCATCTGGACATTGTTAGGTGGGACATAGTAGGGGAAACATGACAAGGACATACTCTTTGGCAATTGTCTTGGTCATACCAGTAACACCTGCCTTGGCCAGCGCGTAGTTGATCTGTCCCGCGTTGCCATTTACGCCACTTGTGCTTGAGATGTTGATGATGTTCCTGGGCTCGCCGTCCTTGACCCTGAAGTACGGTGCTGCAGCCCTCACAATCTTGAACGGCGCTGTCGCGTGCAGGTCGACAATAGTGTGCCATTGCTTGTCCGTCATCTTGTGGATGACACCGTCCCATGTGTAGCCGGCATTGTTCACAATGATGTGGATCTTGCCGCCTCCAAACTCAGCGGCTTCAGAGATGAGCTTCTTGATGTAGGCATCGTCGAGAACGTCGCCTGCCACAGCTATGGCGCTGCCACCAGATTCGTTAATCTCTGCGGCTACAGAGCCCGCTTTCTCTGCGAGCTGTTAGCTAGTATTTGGAGATTCAAGATACTTGCATCAACCCACTAGCATCTACATCAGCAACTACAACCTTCGCACCCTCTTTCGCAAACAGCTTTGCAGCCTCAGCGCCAATTCCCTGTCCAGAACCTGTAATAATGGCAGTTTGGCCAGCCAACATACCCTTAGGGTAGTTGAGATGGCCTGCAATCTGGTCGATGCGCTTGGAGTAGGACATTATGCTTGTGAGATCGCTTGTACTATCAATGTAGATTAAGGACCGTAAAAATTTCACCAAAGAAGAGAGCTCAGTGTTTATGGACGCTCTTCCATGAAATGCGGAGTAAGTCAACCGCAACGACCGACATCATTACCTCAATATGCCGAGGTTCACAGCTAGCGCGTTTTGTGGCTGCCGTGGACGCGCTTTCCTAGGTTTGGCTGACTCGACTTAAAGCACCATCATCAAACAACAAGCAACGGAGAAGAGTTGGCTAGATTTCGCGTCAAGTGTCATTCAGACAAAACGAAGTCCTTCTGGCTCACTGTAACTGCAGATACGCCTGCTCGATCTCCTCCAGGTAGTCTTGTTCAATAGCCCTCCTCTGCACCACTTGCTTGAAATTAACCTTGAGCGGTTTCTCTTTCGTCGCGGCCATAACCGTCTCCCTCGGAATCCTGATTTCGTCGATATCGTTCTTGTTGGCGCCAGCAATTACGCTATCATACAGCTCATCAAGCAGCTGCGCCTCGCTCTTCTCATCCAATGTTCCCTCCTTTACTTGCACAATAACGTACGGCGCAGGACGACCCTCTCCGCCCACCACCACGTTCTGCACCTCCTTGTGTTGCAGAATCCGGCTCTCAATGTCCTGGGCATGGAACTTCGCCAGCCAGTCCAGCTTGGTCAAGTCATCTTTGCGAGCAGAGAATGCCCATCGTGTGCGACCGTCAGAGTCTTTGACAGGTCGGTACAGCTCCTTAGTTTCAATACGCTTCAAGTACCGATGTCCTGAGTTCCAGAAAGCTAGCTGGAAAGGGTTGGTACGACCATCCACAGCATTCTCGAGGATAAGCTCGTGAAGATTATCTAAGCCCTCCGTATCAAAAGGCACCATCTTATGACCATTCTCCGGAACGAAGTCGTGCGTGTACCAAAGGCTCCTATCCGCTGGTCGTAGATCGATCTGGTCTCCAGTCTCTGTAGATCCGATGACTGGGCTTAATCGCGTGTGCTGATAGAGGTCGTCCCCAATCGCTCGGTCCAAGGGTGCGCCAATGTATACGACGAACTCCAGCGATTTCAAAATGTCTCTGGTTACTGGATCTTCGTAGAGGCCGGCAATAGTAAAGGGCGGACACTTCATGCCGTCGATCTTGTTCATCGAAGTAATCTTCTTGAACAGGGCGGGAGTCAGGGTAACTTCGCCTCTGGGCATCATCACACATGGAGCATCGAGAAACACTGGCGCCATGATCATCGCATGCAGGCCGGCTACCCATTGCGGTGGACAAGGATTCAGAGCTGTCTTTCCGATCCAGCTTTCATACACGATGCCTCGAGGCCAGTGTCTTCGGCTAAGTATGGGTACGTTTCTCAGCGCGGACCACATCCCGTTGGTATGAAAGATGGGTTTAGGATCGCCTGAAGAAAGATAAGCTTGTGGCTTTTGAATGCGTTCTGCTTGACTTACCAGTAGTGCCGGATGTATGGATGATGACTATCTCATCCCACTTGGCCTCTTCAAAGGTTGTCTCATATGGGTAGCGCTCCTGCCCTTCATTGTCGAGCATCCACTCCAATGACGGTACTGCACATAATTTCAAGCTCGACTCCGGTTTAACCAATGGTCCTGCAGGATCGTCTGTTGCATAGAGCCAAACTTTGCAGTTGGTCACCGCCACCAATCCCGCCAGCCCCTCGTTGGTCACACGGCCATCTGGAACCAGCAACTACAAGAGTCGTCAGTCAAAAATTTACACTCTGAAACTCAACACTTACCCTGCGTCCATTTTTAGCAATCGCCGGTACCAGGATGGCATATCGGGGATCGTTCGGCCCAAAGTAAGCAACCGTTTCGCGATCTACCGCCTTTCTGAGCTGCTCGTCAAACCAGAAAGCCATCTTGTCGATGGCGTTGGCATACTGCTTCCACGTAATTGTTTTGTAACCGTCCTGCTCCCAGTCTTCCAACGCGTATCTCATGAACATGTTGTTTGGTATCCATCTCGCCTTCTCCTCGATAGCGTGCACTATGAGTTGGCCCGAAGGATGCTCTACTCCGTTCTCTGCTATAGAACCCATAACATTGTATTGAAGATAAGACAAATTGCAATGGTATAGAGCAAATTCCGAACGCAGATTCCGGTGCAGATGCACCTTGATATACTCTCAATCGTTCACACCTCATTTAATCATTGTCAGCATCGTTTAGATACCGGCAGAATAGCCAGCTAAGTCAGTAAGCACAGCCTTAGCTTCTGATCTGCTCAAACGTGTCAGCTTACGCGATTCTGTACGTCTTTCTCTGATTGTTTGTGTTACCTTGATCTGAGATTGTGTGACTTCCGCATTCAGCTAGTGCTGAGCTCATCAACTACTTCGACCTTTCATACACAGGCCGTGTGTGTATGCTTGTATTGGCAAAAGGTAGCGTAGAGGACAATCTAACTTGCATTATGGCATGTCAGCACTTGATAATGCCATGCATAGAGAGGAGAAGCTCATTTTCATACAAGACGCCCCGTTGATGACGGAGAGGCAGCTAGATGACCAGTGGCTTACAGCTTGTCTACGTGTTTCTCCCTTACGCCCCGTTGACAAAGACGAATTTGGAGTTGCGAGCACAATTTTCAGAACATCAAGCTCAAAATTACGTCAAATATTGTATTCACGTCTATATCGTGTTTGTCTGAAAGGATCCGTTCCCAATTCGTCGAACCATATTTCTCTGGCCAGGCTCATACCTTGGTCTCAACCTCAACATTGTCTATCTTCTTCTCTTGGCGACACTGCTCTTCTGCAATCACATCTGCAGGGATGCGGTCTGGTGTTGAATTTACCAGTACCAGCATCGGGCCTAGAGCAAGAGCCATCAACGCGAATGTGACGCAGAATCCGATTAGAGGCGATGTCTTGATCTGCGTGTTCATGCCGTACGAGATGGCTTGTCCGATGGCCTCGAGACAGCGGAAAGCTGCACCATTGCGTACGTTGGCTATATCTTGTCAGTCTCTGATCTGTTAGAGCTACTAGTTAATGAGGCATACCTTGAGCGTCTGTTGCAAAAGAAGACAGCAACCAGTACATATACGACTGTGACAAAGGACCGGTGGTTTGAACAAAGAAGTACGGCAAGAAGGAACGCGCATACAACGAATCGTCCCAATCGATCTTTCCGGGGTTGTTACTGTTGAAACGAGCTTGCATCACAATCGACCAGATGTACACGCCAAGGTTGAGGAGCACGACCGTGAAGAGACCGATCTGTGCGCGACGTCGTTGACTGACACCCTTGAGATCAAGTATGAAGCCCAAACCGAAGCATCCAACGATGCAGAAGAAAGGCGAGATAAGGGAGGAGAGTGCGCGGGCGCGGACGCTGAAGTAGGTACCAAGATAGGTGGACCATGTACCACTAACGCCTTATCAGCCAGTGTTTATGTTAGTATCTGGCAAGATTGACGAACCTGTAGAAGAAAGACCATATAGCCCAGAAAGCAGATAGTAGGATCAGCTTTGAGGTCATAGTTATCTTGATCTGTTTGAATTCCATCTTGGTGCCGATTTTCTCGGATACTAGGATACGCGTTCCGTCCGAGCGTACGACTCGTTCAAGAGGGGATATGAGGAAGGCAAAGGGCAAGGCCATACATTCGATAATCAAGAAAGCGACATATGTATCGGGTGTTACACCACCGACTACACCTTTCTCGTGATTTTTCGACAGACTGTAGGGCGAATGTCAGCTATCGCTGTGTAGATTCCACATCGAGAAGACTCACTTGATAGCACCGCCGACTAGCTGCCCCAAGTTTCGAGCAACGATCCAAAGAGCTAAGTATTTGCCACGAGATCCGGATGGTGCAAGAGACATAATGGTGCCCGACTCAGCTACACTAAATACAGAGGTACTAAGTTAGTGTATGGCTTACATGTAATTCTTACAGAGTGACTTACTACCAAGTGCCGGTGCCAATGCCAGTGAAGAAGCCACCTAAAATCAGGTACCACTGGTTTCCGAACTTGGAATTGCAATAGTATGAAGAGCCTCGAATTGGAAACGAGCAAGCACCGATGACCAATGCCCACTTTGTTCCCAGTTTGTTAACAATGGGTCCACCGAGGGCACAGCAGACAGCCAGCATTGTGTAGTTGACAGCCGTCGCAATGTTCGAGGTTTGAGGAGTTGCGAGACCACCTCCACCGAGACCTGAAACCTTCTTAGCTTAAATCACTACATTTGGTGCGTCGATAGGAAGCTTACCGGCGATAGCATCAGCCATGGCAGGGCCACAGAAGGCCTGCACACTGAGTAACATCATTTGTGTCAAACTGTGTTGCCAGATTCTCTTCCATCTTGGCACTGTCCTAGCATACTCTTCCATGTTGACTCTTTCATCGGCTACCTCATACGTGGGAGGAGCGTTGAGCGGATCGCTGCCCTTTGTGCGAAGGGCATCGTCATTACCACCAGCATGTGTATTTGGAGGGGCAGCGTCGAATTTAGACATCTCAGAAGACTCTTATTGGAAAAACCAGAAATGAATAGAGACAGATGTGAGCTGAGCTCCGAGCTGAAGTGAAACCAAAAGCATAGCACGCGAGCTTTATATATACCACATCCCCTCACACATATCTCCCACCTCCCGTCTATCCACGCATCCAGCATCCCGGCTTATCTGTGGATTTCGGGCCTACATTACCCCAAGCTGGGGTAAAGCGAGTCGTTCCCGCCGATGGGTCCAGCTGATAGCGACTTGTGGAGTCGATGGCTCCGGTGGCAGACGGGTGTCCGAGGGAGAGGGCAGTCTGGGTGAGAATGCAGGCTAGGCTGAACATGGAAGTGCGAACAGTCGGGAAAAGTGGAGGTTCTAAGCTAGGATAGTTAAGGGTTGGCAAGCACGCGCTAGACATGGAACGTAGGCTTTGCAAGGCTTAGATATCGGGTTGCTACGCTTGGGTTACAGCATGCGAGTCAGACGCAAGATGCTCCGCGGGTTGAGTACTGCGCTCGTAACAGTTCGGGGTTGTTGATATCGCAGTGCAGCTGTATCAACCCATTTCTGCTATCGCGATGCAAAGTATCAAGGAAGACCAGCATTTGCTCGGTGCGCAAGCCGGGTGGGAACAGAGATAGCCGCGGCTTTACGCACCACTGACGCCCGCCAGCCTAACCCTGTTTGGACACTGTAACAGTCGGGATCGCCAAGCGAGGAGGGCCGGCGATACTTGGGACGGCAGGCCTCAATTACTCAATCGAAACTTCCTGAGTTCGCATCTGGCGCGTGCGAAATGGGTCGCCATCGTATCATTCCGCTGGTGGCGTGTGCAGCCTTGATCGATACTTAACCGGCGGGATAACATCGTGGGTCGGTACTGATAACGACTTCCGGCATCGCTCTTTGACACTCCAGTACGCGAGAAGTCCCAAGCGTGATAGACATTGTTACTCCAACATGGCACCTACCAGGGCCAATACTTCCGTCATCGTAGTGGGTGGTGGCGGTACCATTGGGTCTTCAACAGCCCTTCATCTTGTACGCACAGGATACACACCATCGAATATCACAGTTCTGGACACTTACCCGATCCCATCATCCCAATCAGCTGGCAATGACTTGAACAAAATCATGGGCATCCGCTTGCGGAACAAGGTGGATTTGCAGCTGAGCTTAGAGGCAAGGCAGATGTGGACAGAAGACGATTTGTTTAAAGAGTACTTTCACAAGACCGGGCGGGTGAGTGACAACACGTAAAAAACGTATGAGCAGACTCAAGGCTAACGGATCTGATAGCTTGACTGCGCGCATGGCGAGAAAGGACTTGCGGATCTCAAACAAGCTTACCAGGCCCTGCTTGATGCGAACGCTGGCCTGGAGGCGACTACAGAATGGCTAGACTCGGAGGATAAGATCCTGGAGAAGATGCCGCTTCTCGATCGCGAACAGATCAAGGGATGGAAAGCCGTCTTTAGCCAAGACGGCGGATGGCTCGCAGCAGCAAAAGCCATCAACGCTATCGGCGGATTTCTGCGCGATAAAGGCGTCAAGTTTGGCTTTGGCGGAGCAGGCTCTTTCAAACAACCTCTTCTTGCCGAGGGCGTTTGTATCGGCGTTGAGACGGTTGACGGAACAAAATACTATGCTGACAAGGTGGTTTTGGCGGCTGGTGCATGGAGTCCTACATTGGTTGATCTTCAAGACCAATGTGTGTCGAAGGTATATTGCTGCAACTCAATCATTAAACACGCACATCTAACATGTAAAGGCCTGGGTATACGCTCACATTCAACTGTCTCCGAGTGAGGCCGCAGAATACAAGAACGTTCCCGTAGTCTATAATGGCGACGTGGGCTTCTTCTTCGAGCCCGATGAACACGGCGTCATCAAAGTCTGTGACGAGTTTCCGGGTTTTACGCGCTTCAAGCAGCATCAACCTTTTGGCGCATCTTCTCCAAAACCTATTTCTGTACCTAGATCTGCCGCAAAACACCCTTCAGATACCTACCCGGACGCCTCGGAGGTCAGTATCCGCAAGGCTATCGCAACGTTTCTGCCCAAATTTACCGAGAAGGAACTGTTCAACAGGCATCTGTGTTGGTGTACCGATACAGCAGATGCAGCACTGTTGATGTGTGAACATCCTGAGTGGAAGAACTTTATTCTGGCCACGGGTGACAGTGGGTAAGTCTTGGTTCTGTTGTACTGAACGTTTCCACACGTTGCTAATACCATGTGTAGTCACACCTTCAAGCTTCTACCTAACATTGGTAAGCATGTGGTCGAGCTGCTAGAAGGTGAATTATCAGATGACCTAGCACATGCATGGAGATGGCGCCCAGGCACTGGCGACGCGCTGAAGTCACGAAGGGCGGCGCGTGCCAAGGATTTAGCGGATATGCCAGGATGGAACCATGACGGTGAAGCGCCCAGAGCGAAGCTGTAGTTTCAGTTCAGATGGTATTACCCTAGTGCTGTGGTGATTCATGACAATCCTACAATAGTCCTGGGCGTGCCAGTATCTTCGATTTGAGGAAATAAATAAGTGTTCGCTACCAGATCTAGACCCTGAGGTTTTCCATC